TGTTGTTGTGTGCCTTCAAGTCATTTCTGACTTATGTTGACCCTAATGTGAATCTATCATGGGGTTTTCTTAGCAAGATATGTTCTTATGTTTGTTTATGTTTGGGGTCACCATTAAGCGGTGTTGTTGTTGCCTTCCCATGAGGCTGAGAGCATGAGACCAATGGGTCTTATGGCTGAGCTGGGAATCCAACCCTGGTCTCCAGAGTCATAGTCAAACACTCAAACCCCTACACCATGCTGGTTTTTACAATTCTCAGCATTTGGCAGGCTGGCAGGTTCAGAGAAATTTAGTCGAAAAAATTCTTCCAAGCTCTGCTCCACACTGCAGCATTTTGTTGCAAAGTCCACCAACTGATGAATATTTCAGAGCTGTGATTATTAAATGATTAACAAATCATTTATAAGCACAATCTTAAAAATTTATATCTAAGGCAGCTTACAGTATAGTATAAAATACAGCTAAAAAGCAATTATAACAAGTTTTAAAATTCAGCACACCCCTGTACAATTGGTTGTCAAATGTTTGTTCAGATAAAAAGGTCTTGATTTATCTGGAAGACTTTATTTTCCTGTATTATTATTTATTTAAAGCATTTCTGTATTTTGAGTCTGCGCAGCATAGTGGTTTGAGTGTTGGACTGTGACTCTGGAGACCAGGGTTTGATTCCCGGCTCAGTCATGATGCTTACTGGGTGACCTTGGGCAAGTCACACTCTCTCAGCCTCAGGGGCAGGCAATGGCAAACCTCTTCTGAAGACATCTTGCCAAGAAAACCCCATGATAGATCCACGTTAGGACCTTCTGAGATGGGAAGAGCTTTCCAATGGCAGCAGGTCCCTTCTGCTAGCAAAAGAGGCTTGCACCTACTATCCCCCTTTAGCTGGTGCCTTTTCGAGTTAGGAACCCATAGGAGTCTGAAGTCCATTATATCTCTATACTAGTATTTTCCAAGCTATCCATTGTGAGGCACCAATGATTATATTTTTCCCAATTGCCAGGGACTGGTACCATATCAGTGCCCATGGGCTACAATGGTTTCTTTCTTTCCTGGAAACTCACCAGCAGCCAATGGCTCAGGGACAAGTAGAGTTGGTGGACTACCGCTTTGAATAGTACTGCTCTTTGGAAACCTCAGTTTCCAAACACCTGTTTTTCCCATTCCTTGGAGTACAGTGAATATCTCTTAGATGCACACTTGAAGAGGTTCTGTGCTAAGAAATCTGGCAACAATGTCATATAGGGGGCTATTCACAATGTGAAAATAATCCAGGATGAATCAAGGTTGAATCTCCATTGTTCACATGCATCCTGAATGCACCCTGTTAAGTTTGGTAGGGAAGGTGCCAAAAACCCCAATTAATCCAGGAAAATCAATATTGGGTGTGTCCCCCCCCACAGTTTTTTAAAATGATCCACATCATCAGTAGTGTGGATAACCAATGTGAATAGACTCAAATAGACCCAGGATATAATGCTGCATGCCTTGAGCGTGTTCTGCTTCGTCAACACCATCTTTATTCAAATGCTTGCACCTGTGAACAATCAAACTCACAGAGATGCTCATCGATGTGGTTCCATAGTGTGAACAACAAACCCAGAATGCGTGAGTGACACGATTCTCATCATCACACTAAAAACAACAACATCTGAATGACCCCCTAGGGAACATTTTGAAAACCAGCATCTGTAACCTAGAGATAAGAGAAGGAGGCTGGGTGGGTGGATGGAGGGGATGGGATTCCAACATGGTTATCGAAGTTTGCTGATGCTTCAAAAGCAGAAATGATGACAGGGTGCTCCCAACAATGGGAGACATAGCAAGAAGAATAGGCCATTAGGCACTATTTGTCAGAGTTAAGCCAGAGTTTCAATAAAGCATTGCTGATGACCTCAATGCATTATTTAGGCAGGATAATCTAGCAGCTACCCCCTCCCCAGTTGGCTGAGGCAAATGAATCGACTTTTTCTATCCAATCTCACTGGAAGGCAGGCTAGAAGAGTGGTGTTGGTCGTTTGCAGGTCCTATGCACATTGTATTACAATGAAACAAAATTTGTCATTACGGTCACCCCTCCGTTCTCACAGACTTGAGATCACAGAGGGGTGATTTCATTTAATTTCAATGGGGTGCACGCCAGTGGGTGCGTGCCCTATTCAAGCCCTGCAAAAACGGAGGGCCAACTGTAGAGTGTCTTTTTCCCTCTGTTTCTCAGTATACTGTGAGAGAACGAAATGGTTGCCCTGTGGAACTGATTGGTAAGTCAAATGCAGACTGAAAAATGTAATGATGGCTTACAGAGTCTTAGGCTGCATCCGCACTGCAGGAATAATCCAGTTTGGCACCACTTTAACTGTCATGGCTCCATCCTATGGAATTCTAGGAACTATAGTTTGTGGTGGCACCAGAGCTCTCTGACGGAGAAGGCTAAATGTCTCACAAAAGTACAGTTCCCAGAATTCCATAGCACTGAGCCATGGCAGTTAAAGTGGTGTCAAACTGGATTATTTCTGCAGTGTGGATACAGCCTTAGATTCAGATTTTCCAAGTGCATTCCAGATGTGTTGGACCACAACATCCCAACATTGTCATGTTAGATGGAGTTTTGGGGTCACATTTGGTCATTAATGCCTGTAAACATGAATCCCCAGCAGTTATGAACTTGTAAGCCAAGCCACTACTAAACAGGATACCAGTCATGAATATAGTTGGCCCTCTGTATCCACAGATTCTGCATCCATGGATTTAACCATCTACAGTTCAAAAATATCCACAGACAATAAATCCAAAATGCAAACCTTGATTTTGCCATTTTATATAAAGAATGCCATTTCACTACACCACTGTAAATAATGGGACTTGAGCATCCATGGATTTTGGTGTCCACGAGGGGTGGGGGTGGTCCTGGAACCAAACCACAGTGGATACCAAAGACCCACAGTATTAACAAAACACTGTGGTCTAGAGCAACTCAAAGTGGTGAATCACTGGTTGTTGGTCTGTGCCACGCTTCCAAGAAACTATGCCATTATGATAATAATATGACACAGTTATGGTACAAGTCCCTTGCAGATGTGGGGGGGGGGGAGATGGTGGTCCAACACAGATAGTGTGGGAGGCATTACTGGAACCCATTATCAAGTGTCACAATATTGTGCCACATAATTATATACAAGTGCCATATGCCAATTTAATGGCTGGAATCCTGCTGGCATCTTTTGTGTGTGTAAGTCCCCCTTCAGAATAGCTTGGAAATTTTTTATCTAATACAGAGCATCCTTCTGATTTAGGAAAAGGTTGTGGAACCAGAGTTGCAGATGTGGTGCCACTGTGCATGCTGATCCATGGAAATGTATGTGTAAATGAGTGCACATGCGCATTCAGTTGTACAATATTACAATTCAACACAAAGATTGCACAGCGTAATCAGTGTATCTCTGCATGCGGACGTTTATATTGTGCAGACTTAATATGAAATCTCAGCCTATATATTTTATGTGTGTGAGTGTAAATAGATGGATGGATATATGGTGATAACAACAACATTTATTTATAACAACCTTTCCACAAAAGGGAGGAACATCAAACATACATACTGCATATACTCATGTATAAGTCTACAAATTTAGGTTAAAAATTTGACCCAAAAAACCTGAATTGATTTATCCACGGATCAATGTAAGTACTGTATCTTAATTCTTATTTAAAAGAAGGAACCATCCCCTGGTGAAAGGCAAGAGTATAATGTGTTCTGGAAGCACCAACCCCCTCTGCTCTCTCATCCACCCAGTCTTAAGAGTGAACACAAACAGTTATATCTTCTAGAATTTTGTAATTTCTTTGGCACCTTTTACCTTTGCTTCATCCTTTATATTCTTTGTTGCATGCCCCTAAGTTTTATACTCGACTTATCCACGGGTCATATCAAAATCCATACATTTGGCTCCAAAACTTGCCCTCGACTTATACATAAGGTTAACTTACGGTAGAGTATATATGGTAATACAAATGAATGATAAAACACAACAGTATACAATCCTAAAATCCTAAAATAATATACAAATATACTAAAACAAACTCCTTATCACTTTCATTGCCATGGGTCCATCCGATGGAATCCTGGGATTTTTAGTTTGTTGTGGCACCAAAGCTCTCTGACAGAGAAGGCTAAATATTTCTCCTAACTACAAGCCCCAGACTTCCATAGCATTGAGCCATGCAGTTAAAGCGGTGTCAAACTGCATTATTGCTGCAGTACAGATTAGACCTAAACCTAAGCTATGTGCATGTATGTCACAAACTAGATTCCAGTTGTTATCTATTATAATGTTGTCACATAAAGCAGTAGTGTGCAGCTATCTACACTCACACAGTTGTGGTTGAGCTTCACTAATATTTTCTGAAGGCCAGCATTGCACATTGAATTGCATGTCTGCTGATGTGCTTCTGTTTCCACAATTCTAGTAAATCAAGTGGCACACACTGAAGGCACTGATGAATTCTTTATGCATCATCCAAGAATGAGCTTGGTTACGCTTGCAGAATCCTGCTTAGGCAGCTGTGAAGTGAATATCGATGTTACACCATGCCCAAAAAGACAACCACATATGTTAAGGAAAATTATATGTGCATAAAACACCGACAAGGTGCTAGCTAATATAAGCAGAGAGAACTAAAGTTGCATTAAAAGTTTTACAATAGCACTTATAAGGATCCAAAATGCTCCACATGCATTATCTAGTTGTAATATTCATTTTATCTGTTTATTTAAATAATTACACCCTACACTTTATCACAAGAAATAAATGGCTAAATTCTATTAGTTAAGAATAGAACCAACTGGATTTACCTACGTGCTAATTCATTGTTCAACAATTGATTCAATGGGTCTACTTTAGATGGAGAGAGGCAGCATGGTGTAGTGGTTTGAGTGTTGGTCTAGGACACTGGGAGACCAGGGTTTGAATCCCCTCTCAGCCATGGAAACCTACTGGGTGACCCTGGCTAATGAGTTTAACACATGGAGACAAATTGCTTAAATCCCATACAGAAATGGGATATAAAATTAAAAAAAAAAAAAAAACACCACAAAAGCAGGTTGTTTTTCAGATATGTTTGTGTAAAAGGAGAAATAACGTGACATTAACACAAACGAAAAGATGCCAAGCCCCATCCTTTTTATTTTCAGAAGTTCCCAAAAGTAAAAAGGA